CACTCCCAGGAAGTAGACCTGCCTACCCCTCCTAATGCAGGCCTCCAGGCCTCCAACAAGTACAGTAAGGGCTGGGTAGGTGGGAATGACCAGGGTGAATGTCCCTCCTCTCCTGTTTGACCAGTGGCCAGAGGACAGGATGCCCATCAACCCCAAGGGCTGGGACATCTACTGTTGTCCCCTCTCTACATTCTCACAGGTCAGATCCCAGAGGTGGCTGGGTAGGAGAAGCTGAGGGGACTGGCTGCCTTAGCCTGGATGTCACTGGGAGCACTGGGGAAGCTCAAGCAGGTGGGCACATCCATCCATGTTGCCATCCAGGAAGGTGGGAGCTGGATTAGTGGTGTGAGAGACTGGGAGACTGGGTGCTCCTTGACAGTGATCTGTGGGGCTTTGGCAGCCCCAGGTGGGAGGTGCTGGTACCCAGCGACCATGTATTAGGAGAACAGAGGGGTGCAGACAAGGACATGGCTTCCCATTCCACACTACATATGTACACCTGGAGGAAATAGGGCTGGGATCCAGGTTGTCGCGGAGCTTCAAAGGGGACCTAGTCCTAGCCCTGGCCTTGGAAAGCTGGACTGAATCTATGGCCCTTTCCCCTGAAATACCTAGGCATAGGACGCAGGACATGCCCAGCCTCCTGTTAGGTCAAAGGGAGGCAGGAGCTTGGAGCACCTTGGGCCACGCTGGTAGGTGCAGGCTGTGTTGCTGTCCTCCATATCAAGGCCTGCCTGGGCCACATGAGCTGTGGGCTGTGGGCCCAGGATGTACCAGGTTCAAACCCCAGCCCCAGTGTGCCCTGCACCAGCTGTACCCGGAGCCCTGGGCTACTCTCCCCTGGCTCCTCACTGATGAAACAGGAGTGAGACAGCCCACCTCCCCCAGCCATTGTGGGTACCAGGATCTCTGGCCTTTCAAGAATGTCTTCTGTATGACCACAGATGCCCCTGGCTGCACTTGCCCCCTGTCCTGAGCCCTCAGAGGCCAGGAGGGAGGGGGATGCTCCTGGGGTTCCCTCAGATATTCTCAGCCAAGGCCCCTCACACTGAGGCCTGCTGCGGGGTGCAGCTGGATAGGATAGGGTGGCAGTGTCTACTCTCAGCCTCTGAACACCCCCAGGCACACTGGATCCTCTTCCTGCCTTCTTTTTCATATGGGTGTAGACTTAGAGTGTGTTTGTGGATACATTTGAAACACACACACACACACACAAACACGCACACCCTCTCTCTCTCTCTCTCTCTCTCTCTCTCATCCTTTCTTCCTATTTGATATCTGTTTCCTCCCATCTCAAATGGCGATGCAGAGACTGGGTTGGTGCTGGGCCCCCTGTGGGGCTCAGTGATGTTTCTGGAAGGAACCCATTGCAAGGTCAGACTGCTCTACAGGAGTTTCTGTGCTCAACCCCACAGGAACTTTCCTTTACATTCTGAAGGCGTCTCTGGCATCTGCCTGCAGCCAGGCAACAGGATTATTGTATTCACTTTGGCTCCAAGGTGACACTTCACTTGATTAAACAAGATGGCCTCCTCTGAAGGTGGCCCTCCACGTCCACCCTCATACCACCCACTGTAACCGCTGCAGCTTCTGCCCAAAACTCCGGTCGCTACCTGTGAGAAGGGGTTTCATGCATTGATGTGCGTACAGGGCTGGGGGCCAGGTAAGCAGCTCCCAAGGGCCCCCTTGTAACAGTCACCACCAGGAGTAGTAATGGCAGGTGCGCAGCGCCGTCTCACCCCGTCTGCCTGGCTGAGGGCGGCGAGGAGCTTTCTGGTCAGTCCACCAGGCCCATGGTCACATGGAGGACACGTCACCTGGAACATTTTATCCCAATGTTTGTTGATCCCACACTCGGTGGAAGACCTGGGAACTTTGGGGGGCATTTGGTATTCCTCCAGGAGTGAGAGAGAGCTAGAAAACAGAAGGTGGGTGGAAGGGAAGAGGGGGTGATGTGAGGGGACAAAGGAGGAGGAAGCGGCCCCCATCACCCAGAGGAAGCTGCCCTGTGTCCATCACCTAGCCAAACCCACCCAACCAGGACAGGGGTCTGGGGCAGGCAGTGGGAGAGAATGGGGACAGGGGTCCTCCCGGAGCCCCCATCCCAGGCTCTGGTCCCTGGGTGCCAGCCTTACTCTCCGGACTCCATTTTCAGGGTCCCCCAGACATTGGGTCCTCTGCAGCTCCCACGTTCTGGGGCTGAGGAGCTATCCAACAGGATGGGGGTGCACAGCCCACACATCCCGTCTCCCCTCACCCTCAGAAATCCTGTCAGTCTGCTGAGGAAAGGAGACCCCTCCCCAAGACCAGGCTTGTCACTGACAGGACCGTCTGTCTGACCCCAGTGTGGGAGGCCCATGGGGTGCTTGGGGCCCTCACTCTTACCCAAGGCCCTGTCCTGCAACCCCCAGGTCCAGCCCAGCCCTCCACCATGGGACTGGGGCTCACCCACTCCTTGTTTCCACTTATGCTAGCCTGAAGGCTCAGTTCTTTAGCAGAGGGTCAGGATGTCACTTCAAGTCCTGGTTTGTGAGATTTTCAATGCTAAAATTGTGCAGTCCTGGAAAAACTAGGGCATTAGGTCACACTAGTGACCAAACCCTCCAAACCCTTCTGAACACTGCAGGTGGCTTCCCAACACCACCCATCCCCTGCACCCCTGTGCTCTGGGAAAAACCACATTATTTTGTTCTCTTTTGTGTTTCACACCCAGCTCCTATGGGTCCTGAGGCACCGCAACTCCCCCTGGCCCTTGGGGCTCAAGCCCCCTCCCTCCTCCTGTCCCATAGGTCCTGTCCACTTGGCCTCTCCAACCAAGGGGATGGCAGGCATTGTGACCCCACTCCACAGCTGAGGCACGAGGCCCCAGAGCAGCCTTGAACTCAGGACCAGAGGCAACTCATTGGATAGATCAAGGAAAGCCAGCTGGGCTTCCGCCTCATAGCTGGGATCCAAGCGACCATCCCCCCCCCCCCCCAC